CACACACACACACACACACACACACACACACACACACACACACACACACACACACACACGTGTGGAGAGTAGGAGTAGAGTGCCAGATCAGCGCTGGCCTGACTGGAGGAGGATGCGGCGTCGGTTCTGTGGGGACCAGATGGCCCTTCAGCTCCTGCAGAGGACCCAGGAGCGTGGGACTCTGATGATAAACCTGTGATTCCCTGAACGTGTGTAAAGGTAATAAATTAAAGCTTTGTCAGAGATGTTCATTACTCTGATCAATAGGTGTGTAGAAGAAAAAAGAAGTGATTAACAATGCTGCACACATGGTGGTCCATCAAGCCTTCTTGGCTCGCCGCTCTGTTATTTGCAGACCATTTGCTTGTGTTTCATTTATTCAGTCTAATCTGGCTACAGAGTCATGAAGAATGAGGCACATGAGTTTAAGCCAATTGGTTTTTTTCCTCTTTGTGCTTATCTGTAGTGTTAGCAAAATATCTCATGAACCAGTACTTTAATGAAACTTTCAGAAAGGAATCACTGGATGGAGCTACATATAGAACTGATTGTTGTTTGGTGTTGACTCAATTCAAGATGGCTGCCATGTCTGATCAACATTAGCCAACAGATAAATGGCTACAAATCAATGATTTTTACAGATATTGAGCAACAATTTGGTGTGATATTAGCTGAGAATCATCCACATCACATATTCTGAGCACTAACCTGATGGAGCAAGATCTGTTTTCAAAACTGTCATTAACTATTGCAGTTAACTGTTAGAATATCACATTAACCATTGACGACTAATAAAAATGTCAGACATCTACAACTCATTGAGGTTGACTGACACCATTGACATCATCATGGAGTTCCTCAGGGTTCAGTGCTTGGACCAATCGTCTTTAATTTGTATATGCTTCCTTTATGTAAAATTATTAATCAGCATGGGATAAATTTCCATTGTTATGCTGATGATACTCAGTTATATTTATCCATGAAACCTGCTGAATCCAACCAGTTACTTAAACTACAAGCATGTCTTTCAGACATTAAAACATGGATGACTCTTAATTTTCTGCTTCTAAACTCAGATAAGACAGAGGTTGTGGTTTTTGGACCTGAACATCTTAGGAATCAACTTTTCACCTCCTCTGGATGGCATTAATCTGGCCTCCAGTTCTAATGTAAAGAACCTTGGTGTTATTTTTGATCAGGACATGTCTTTTAACCCCCACATTAAAAATGTTACCAGGACCGCCTTCTTCCACCTGTGTAATATCACTAAAATTAGAAACACCTTGTCCAAAAATGATGCAGAAAAACTGATTCATGCATTTATCATGTCTATCATGTCTAAGCTGGATTACTGTAATTCTTTATTATCTGGACATCCAAAAAAACCTCTTTAAGAAGTCTTCAGTTAATCCAAAAT